CGCAGAGACATGATCTGATGCAAAATAACTTGGGTTGTTGATTGGTTAAGATACGGCAATTTGTGAAAACTAGAGGTAAATGTAGACTAAGTCCTGAAAAATTAACTAAGTAATAATAATTATTATTTTCATTAAGCTTAAATGGCTAAATGTCTTCACTGCAGAACCACGACCTTCTTTAATTTACTAGAATGGAGGATGCTATGCTGTCCAGGCGGGCTGACAAGTAAGGCCATATTTTATGTCCCTGAGACTGAAATCCAATAAAGCTAGAAAGTTTAGGTTTAGACATTTTTTCATAGGACCTTTGACTTTCATATTACCACTTGTTTGTGTCTTTCAAGTATGACAATGGATTCTATGTTTTACCTCGAATAAGTGTAAACATTTTAAACAGGTACAAAAAAGGTTAACTATAAAGTTAACTGTTTATAATACATACAAGTTTACTTAACATAACAAATGGATTTTTTTAATATTGAATTGTTATCATTTTGCACAATTCTTATCGGAGTTAATGGGTTACTCCGAGACAAATGAATATTAGTCTGGGTGTTTTCTATGATTGTCTATATCAATATCTCTTTCCCATGATTTAGCTTTGTTTGTGATTCGTTTTGTAAAGTGACCAAGGATATTTATTTCCATAAACATGAATAAATAAATAAATAATAACTTTATTGAATCCACAAGATCTTTACTTTGCCTGAAATTAATGAAAGCCTTTCAGTCAGCCTTTTTTTTTACCGTTCCATTGTACAATAATGTAATAATTTTTCCTTTTCTAAGTGGCAGAAATTAAAATTATGCAGACATCTCGCTCGAAAGTGTCAGTTTTGCAAATGTGACTTTCTTAATTTTGGCTAAATTTGCGTCACGGCAATTAAGTCCAACGTAAAGTAACGAACGCTAGCCCACCAAGATAACACTATGTATCTTATGTTGTTGATATTAGTGCTATTTTGCAACAAATGCATAGTCTGATATGCTGGCGGCCTAACATAACTTTATTGTGTAATGGCCATCACACGCTCGCCAGTTCAGTTTCGCAACGAAAATATACAAAAATGTTATTATTTACGCAATTTCTTTCAAAAATAACAACAAACTCTCGAGATGACCATGATGATAGAAATAAGTTGAAGATCTATTGTTTATATTTATACTTTGTTGATTAAACACATCTACTATTTGATTATGATATTGACTCGAAAACTTGCTGGTTGTCTATCGAATTCTCCAATTTCTATAATCTTGTAGTATGTACCTATACTTAACCCGTAAAACGCGTCGCCTCACTTCACTAGAACTTAATATGATTTTTTTCCTTTACCTGAGGACTTGAGTGTGAGTTTTCATCAAACGCGCTACCTAGCGCGTCAAAAAATTACATTAAATGTATGACGGATTGTACAGCGACCCTAGCGGGAAACGTTCAAAAACTAAAATTTCCATACATTTTTTAAAAGGGCTCACTAGTTAGCGCGTTTGATGTAAACTCACACTCGGCCCACTGTTGGTTTGTTGTGTGAATTGCATGGAATCATGCACCTTCTCCTTCTCTTTGTTATGGTCTATTTTTAGATAACTAATGTATGTAACCTGCAGATGTAACTATAACGGCAAAAACAGGTATATGATAAGATCCATCTGCCAGCTCTACTAGAGCAACGGTGGAGAAAATTGCCTCTAAATGTAGGTTAGGCTGCGAAGTATTATTTTATTGCAAGCCAACATATATTTCAAGTTTGTATTTTATTTCTGGTTTGGGATAACCAATTTCATTACATGGACATTAATCCTTCCAATTGTCTATCAAACCTGTTCTTCTACTTTTAAGCTTTGGGCAAGTATAATATAAATAATTATAATAATTTCAAAAGTTAAAAGTATATGAAACTCGTTATTTGTGTGGAAGTAGACCTAGAACTCAATGCCACAAAAATATAACAATCACAAAACGCGTTTTATTATATTGAGCTGCTTTAAATTAACGGTTGTGTAAAAAGGATATTGTTTACCTACTTCATTCAATTAGATATTTTCCACTTTGATTGAACTTCCTAAATAATTCGTAATCCTGTTCTCCTTACGGCGGAGTTTCTAACATTTTAAAGTTATCGTTTGATACATTTAGGGTGGGTTGCACCATCTTACTTTGACTGTAACAAACGTCAAAAATCTGTCAAACTCCATACAAAAATCACCGGTTATCGTTATAGTTACGGTCAAAGTTTGATGGTGCAACTCAGCCTTATTGGTGTATTTTGTGTCACTCATTATGACAGTTCGCGTAAGGGGCTAGACTACGCCAGCTGCGGTTGCAGCTTCGAATCCAATTAAGGGCATATTTTAATAGGGTGACGAAGTAATATCAAGTGTAGCCATGGACATAATACAAAGTAAGTAGGTATTGTAGATAATTATGCACTTAAGTATGATTCTTGTTATGTATCTAATTGATATGGAAAAAGGTCTTCAACCTAGGTTTTGGGAAATTTGTGATAGTGAAAAGGAGTCCACTGAAATAGCGATCCTCCGTAATCCCGCCAATAGCGGTCTAAGAGATCTTTTAAGTGGGCACGCTTGCCTCATGGAACTGAAACCCATTCTTCAAGGCGTTCTTTATACCTTCTGCAACGTCTACTATAACAACTGGGGATGCGTAAAGCACTTCCTCCTATAAACAAAAAGAATGACATTAATGTCAGTTTAATTTTTTCTTTACCTCTTACTTTACAAATTAATCGACACTGTCATACGACACGACACTAGCCTAGATCGAGAGAACGCCCGCGGTTTTGTAAGCGCTTGACCAACCAGAAGGCTTTTAGCAATACCTCACGTTGCCCAACTTATACCTAATACTCATAATCGCGCAACAAACAAGTCCCTTCACAAAATTGGTCGGACCTTTTAGAGGACGATGTAAATGCATTAAAATTCTCGGATTTAGCCATAACCTTAATTTAATGCAGGTATCGTTTTCAGACTCGACGCTGAATCGATTTAAAATGTTTAGAAATATTTGCAGAATGACTAATGCTGCGGAGATTGATCAAAGAAAATCAGGGATGCTATGGATATCCGTAACCGTAATCGAAACTTTCGGATATCCGAAATGAAAAATATCCGAAACTGTAACCGTCACCGATTCAAAAGTTTCGGATAGTTTCGGATACTTATACTTATAGGCAGTTTAAATTTTTTTTTTGATAGCATTATGTAAAGGCATATATCCTGATTTACCTTTATAATGCCATCAAGTATACATTTTTAATTTTTTATTACCTTTTATTCGATGTAAAGTGTGCGGCCATGAATGAACCATGTTGGACAACTACTTATTGCAAATTGCATTCTAAAGCACAGATATCCGTAACCGTAACCGAAACTTTCGGATATCCGAAATATAAAAATATCCGTAACCGTAACCGAAACCGGTATAATATTATTCCTATATCCGTAACCGTATCCATAACCGAAACTACATATCCTAATATTAATTATAGCATTAAGTCCGCCACTGTACAGTGGTATGTGCAAAAGTGTAAATAAATAAAAAAATAAATAAATATCCAAACATCCATAAAGAAAATCTCGATTTTAGGAGAATCTATATTTTAGAACAGGGCAGTTACCTAAACAATGCAAGTATAAAGAGTACCTACTTATAAATAAATTCCTAACGTGGTAGGAGTGATAGGTACAAGTTTTGTTTTGTTTGGGACTAGCTGGCGCTGTGTGAGTGTGAGTGGACAAGTTTTATAATTATTTATTTTTCCTTTTTTCATTTATCAAGGACAATTATTCTTATCCTTTTTTCTTCAAACAGGATTATTTACCACAGTCATTTAGCAACGATCGCAAACTGGATGGGTGGGATTCCATTCTGTTAATAGCAATACTGGGACTTGATTCAGTTCTATGTTCTGAACAAGTTTAGAGCTATAAATTATTATGAGCACAAAGCCAATAAGTTCAAGAATAAGTGGGTATGTTGGAGTAATCGCGTACCAAAATTTTTACATAATAAATATCATTTATTATTTATAGGTATAGTTATAACAAATATGCATGAGTTGCTATCCAACTTTTGAACAATGAATTAGGCAAGTTAGTAAGATTTGCATGAAAAATAATGAAATGGTGTACATAAGGTGAATCTAAAGTCATGTAAGTAGGTACAATTCTTAATTGTCTTACACACTTGCTGGTCTGTTAATTAGACATTTGATAATTATCAAATGTCTAATTAACAGACCAGCAATAATTAATCAAGTTACATGAGTGGGATAAATCTTAATATTATGCACGTGCACTGCAGAGATAGTTTAGACACTGTTGTTACACAATAACTTTTCTTATCATCACGTAATATGTAGTAACCAACTGGAGATTCGAATACCTACAGTTGATACGACGCGTAAAATTAGGTGGCTCTTATCAATCATTGATACGCTAATTTATTGTCTAATCTGGTATTTAAATATTAGAACATGGCCATTTGGTGTAGTCGTGGACTCTGTAGACTACTATGCCGAGGTCGCAGGTTCGATTCCCGTTCAGTAAAAACATTTGTGTGCATGAATACTCGTTATTTGTTTGTATTGGAAGGGTGTTTTCTATTTTTAATACGTATGTAGGTATTAAAAATAGAAAACACCCTTCCAATATATAAATACATATATATTGGAAGTATTATACAATATATAATATACCAGTTGTCTAGTAATAACAAGCTTTGCTTAGTTTGGGAGTAGAGGCGCAGTGTAAAAAATGACCAAAATTTACCCAACGGACCTCGCTAAAACTTCCATTGATAAAGTCTCTTGAAAGATGCGCTCGCGAATCCGATGCAATCATTACGTTTTGTATAGAATACCTAACGTTATTGTAGTTTAATCTACGATAACAGCCCGTTCATTGTGACCCGACCTTCGTTCCCAGTGTATTCCTTTAATCTGTGGCGGGCAGACGCTTATTTGGTTCCCACAAAAATGATTCGGTTCTTAAATAATTTATTCAACTCCTGCTTTAACGCGGGCGTGAAAGTTTGTACGCGTGCAGTGCTGATTGTTATAAGTGCCGTTATCTATCAGCTGTTTGTTATTGTGGAAGTGTTCTTGAACAGCTACCATTTGGTGTATCCACCGTACTTGGAAAAGCCGATAATGGAAATTCAAAATTTTATATCCAAAGTTTTTGGGTTCATTATGAGAGTTGTTGCTACTGAGGTACAGCCAGTTGCTTATTATTAGCTTACATATTAATATTCTTCTTCGTATTTATTATTACTCACTTAAACTGGCGGCTTCAGACGACGTCTTCTCTCCTTAGACTCTACCTACATTTTAATTACTTAGTTTGTTCAATTTAAAACATTAATTATTTTAGGCTTGTTATCGGTTTGTCTGTCTCCGGTTTTTATCTTTGACCGTCTGTCAATAACCTCACAAATGTCGCTGCATTCCACTCTCGATTGCTGAAACTAATGCCCTACTAGTAGATAAGAAATAAATTTAGTCATTCATAATATCAATCATAATTCAAAACTCATATAGCTATTTGTATAGACAAGTAGCATTCCACGGTCAGTAGTTGACTAGTCTCCAAGATTAAGTAGTCGTAATTATAAATTACTTACTTATATTTTTTTAAATCAAAATGCCAATATTAGTATCGAAAGCATTGAACTCATCTCTCCTACACAAAAATTCCTTGTGATTGAATTAAACTTTTATTTATACAGTTTTCATTTGTTTTATTCAGATTATTATTTCAAAATGCACCCACATTGAATGCTAATATTAATCACTCATATATATATATAAGTTTATCTTTCTGTGTCGGACTTATGAATCGGAACTAGGCATTCTGAGTTTGGAACTATGTAGGTATAGAGAGTTAATTAATTCTTCTTGTCTGCTTAAATCTATGTGAAAGCTAGATAGATATGCAGAAATATTTACTGGAAATCTAAAACACCTACCTATACTGAATGAAATTAAAACGTAATGCGGGTCATAGTGACAGGTTTTCACACACGCTCGACCGGTTTCCCTACGTTAACCATTATAATGATAATGATCTGTTTACATAACATCCAATGTACCTACAAACAAACAAGTTTCCTTGGCATTGCATCAATTAAGTCCAAGAAGTGTTACTTTTACTACAAACATTTATTTGAATTTTGAACATAAGAATGAACTTTTGAGGTTGTACATACATTTTGTGCGTGAAAGGTATCAGCAACGTATCAAGCTAAAAACTGTGGTATTTTGGTTGTAATAGAAGCTATTTTGCGACAAAATGTTTAGTATGATGTGCTGTCGATATACAATAACTAAATCGACAGGGTCAAACAATAAATAGGTACATACCTACTGTTCAGCTAATGAGCCAACAGTTACATAATGTTATTTTGTCGTGAAATGGCCTACAGATAAAAATATTTTGGGTTTACGAATTCTTATCTAGCTACAAACTATATTTACATTACCTACTGTATGCAGTGGAGTTTGGCCGGCCTGGTGGCACGCGTACCGTACGATCGCGGGTCGATTCCCGCTCAACCCAAACGTGACTATCTATTGTCTGTAAATCTTCTATGTAAAAGTCCAGAGATATTTATTTATCTTTCTTTGTCCACAGACTAACATGCTGAATGGATTCATGCGAAGGTTCCTCCGGTTCCTGGTGTCATTGTTGACGATCATAGTATATCCTTTGACATATTTTCTAAGCATAAAGCGAACGAGAAAATGTCCGCCTCCCGTAAACCCCATACTGTTCAAATCTGCTACTACTTTGACAATGATGATCAGAAACAAACAGGCAAGTGTACATTCATTTTGCTTTTGGGTCCAAGGACTTTTGGGTCTTGGGTCTTTATTTTATTTTCTAAATATGGTAAATGCTACATTTTTATTTCAAGAGCAAGATCCTGTTCACTATTTTTATTAATAAATTATTTTATCACCAGTTTACTTTATCTAAAACTTGCATTGATACTTGTATTATTAAACTCATGCACTTCACTTATTAAACTAAATATTATTTTATTATTATGTAAGCGATAACCGATAACGCATTCTTTATGAAAATTATAAAGGTTACAGTCAGAGTTAAGAGACTCAGTTAACTGACAAAATTATTATATTTTCAGATCACTTCAGAAGAAGTGGTAACAGCATACATAGAGAGGTGTAAAGAAGTAAATCCGTTTCTCAACGCCATCGTAGAGCCGCGGTATGACGCAGCCCTGAGGGAAGCCCGGGCCATAGACAAGATGATTGCGTCAACTACCCGCACTCCAGAGGAACTGGCGAAGGAATACCCTCTGTTGGGCGTACCCTTCACCGTGAAAGAGAGTATCGCTGTCGAAGGTAAGAAGCGGCTGACATTGTAAGCTCATTCAGTGCGTCAAACCATTGGTAGATGTAGTTAGACACATACTTACCTTGAGAAGTCCGGGTACATAAAATTTTCGAATAGAAAAACCTCTTCAGGTTAATGTATTCAAAATCAGTATAAAACTTGTTTACTTTAAGAATCTTGTTTGTTAAATAATTAACAAAAAAAAACACGTCGTCTAGTAGCGACACGGTTATCACCTAAAGATTTGTATCATGTATGGTACAAAAACCATCAACTTAGCACTCTACACTTGTGTAGCTGTTGGATTAAATATAAGAGTGTCTAAATATAAGACTGTTAAGTATACATCCCCATTGTCCTGAAATATACGATTACGAGAGACAACAAGAATAGAAACAGAAGCAACAGTGGTGCAAAATCTTTCAATCGTATCGGTTACTTAACTCCTACCAAGTGCACCGGGCAAATTTAGAAGTTAACAATGAGTTTTGCAATGTTACACAAACCACCAATCAGCCGCTTGCCTGAACGGATGCCCGCACTAACCATGGCCTAGTGAATGGCAATTTAACGCACTACCTATCGTTACATCATCTTAATATCTACATAATGGAATGACATTTGAGATGTATAAGAAAACGACCAGTCCTCGTTGGCGATATTAATTTGCATTATGTAGCTGCAACACTGTGGCTGGCAACATTGCAAAAAATACCTACCAATCAGAATATGCACGTAGCCGATCATGATATGCACGTAGCTGATCATATTATATCGATCCAGGTGTAGTAGTATGGCCTATCATCATCATCATCATCATCATTTCAGCCATAGGACGTCCACTGCTGAACATAGGCCTCCCCCAATCCATGTTGATCGATTGGTAGCGGCCTGCGTCCAGCGCTTCCCTGCTACCTTTACGATGTCGTCGGTCCACCTTGTAGGTGGACTATGATCCTATGGCCTATGATCTTAATCAACTAAATTATTATTTTGTAATCAACTAATTTATTACGTACATAGTTAAAAGTCTCGTTATCTCAGTAGAATTTCGGATAGTTCAACAACCTGTTGCAGTTCGTACAGTCAACCATACTTCGTAGTCTTACACATTTAGAATTCGTAACAATTCGATCGTTTACTTTTAATAATTGACCTTTACAATTACCTGTGCGAGACTGCTTAACGAAATCACATTTACTGCCAACATTAAAATACGTTCAAAGAATCACGTTGTGATTAATTAAATAGCTTTTTTCTCTTACCTATTCCAGGCATGAGCAACGACTGCGGAACAGTCTACCCGTACCGAAACCCTGCCAAAGCTGACGCTGCGATAGTGCGCCAGGCCCGAGCAGCAGGGGGAATCCCCATAGCAGTCACGAACACACCCCAGCTGTGCATGAACTGGGAGACGTATAACAACGTGGTGGGAGTCACCATGAATCCATATGATCAGAAGAGGACCACTGGAGAGTCGTCGGGTGGAGAGGTTAGTTCATTATCTTTAAAATGATAAAACTAAAAACTCATAAAACTCATTTATTTCTGTAAATAGGCTTAAAAAAGCACTTTTACTTATTTGAAATGTAAGAAGTAAGAATGACAGGTTTTCGTTAATCATTCTTTTCTATTCTTTCTATCAAATAAAATGTACGAAAACCTATTTCAAAACTAAATTATTTACTTTTCCTCTCGTGAATTGCAACAACTGTACCTTTTCGAAATCTATTCACCATCCAGTGTGACAAATCCTTATCCGTTTAAGTTTAAAGTTGCTTTTCATCTTATCGAAAACCTAACTTTCTTTCTTTAACTATAATTTCAGGTGGCGTTGATATCGTCTGCAGCTTCAGTGATTGGTATGGGATCAGACATCGCCGGGTCCCTGCGGCTGCCTCCCATGTTCACTGGGATCTTTGGACATAAACCCACACCCAGGCTGCTATCTGTCGAAGGTAAGTAAGCGCTTAAAAATGCACACTCTTAAAATGAAAACTATGTACTTAGATAATTACCTAATTCTTAACATCTATACCTCTAGCATGAACAACTTTCTCGTCTTCGAACCGTTTGCATATTCGACAAAATTCGATACTGAACCTTTAAATTAAACAATAACGTGACAATTTTGATTTTCAAACTAAGTTTAATGCAAGCATTTCTCATACTAAGTTCACTTTACGCACGTACACAAGGGCGCTGTTGTAGTTTTCGTAGTAAATCTTTTGTTGGCGATTCGAATACGCAAACGATTCGAACTCGAAAGTTTTTCGTGCAAGCCGTACTAATTTGATCTTCTTACTATCATTTTGAACATCATACCTTAGTGGCAAGATTCAACTCCTTATTACTAATCCGGACCTCGTACTTAAGCAGAGGAGCACAGAATGTAGATTATTATTTTGAACTTGAAAACTTCTAATTAATATGGAGTGTGGACCTTGACATTAGCAATAGCATAAGGCCACTTACCTTCATTGTTTCTACTCTACTTTCTTAGATAGCGTGCGTGACATGTCTATCAGTTCTGTTTATCTCTAACGGTCATACAATGAACGCGTAACGAATTCATAAACGGCAATGCATCGGCCTCGATTTCTAGTCAATTGCCCAAGAAGTAATACTTACTTCAGCCAGCGGTACTTCAGTTACTTACCTAATACGGAAATGCATACGACTGTGTAACAACATGCAACACGCGTTACAGAATTACCTACGATCCTACGAACTACAGTAAAAGTTTAACTTTCGTTCGTTTCAGCCGACTGACGTCCACTGCTGGGCCTCCCCCAAGGATTTCCACAAAGACGGTCCTGCGCCGCCCGCATCCAGGCACCTCCCGCGACCTTCGCGAAAAGTTTAACGGCCCTACCAAAAATAGATTCCAAGTCCAATAAATTATAATTATCATTACTTATCTTTAAAATAAAGCGACGCTTAAAGAGACAAAATTCGACATAATCTTCTTTCAGGTCATGTGCCAGACAGCAGAGACGAAGACTTCGAAGAATACTTCGCCCTTGGCCCCATAACTCGTTATGCCGAAGACCTGACCCTACTTTTGAAAATCTTGAGGCAGCCAAGCGGCCCTGACGTACCTTTGGACAAGCCTGTAAGCATCTCTCATATTATACGGTAGGATACCTACTTACCTCGTGGGATCGTATTTACATTAAATTAAGAGAAACACAATTTTAATAATTACCAAAAGATTTCTCGCGGATTCCCTTAAATTCAACCACGTCTATTCAAGACAACCGCTCATTGCGTGAGTTTCCGTAAATCATTTATTTATTAGGTGGACCGACGACCTATTAAAGGCAGCAGGAAGGCGCTGGATTCAGGCCGCCACCAACTGGCCATTGTGGAAATCATTGGGGGAGGCTTATGTTCAGCAGTGGACGTCCTATGGCTGCAAAATGATGATGACGATGATGATTTATTTATTCTTCATATTTTTAATTTTCAGGTGGACGTGACTAAGCTAAAATACTACTACATGAATGGGGATAACAGCAACGTGACTAATTCAATAGGACCTGATGTAAGAAAAGCTATGGAAAAAGCAAGGGAATACATGAAAACTACTTACAACATTGAAGTACAAGAAGTAAGTAAAACTAAAATTTTCCTTTGATTTTGTACTTAAAAGCGTTGTGAGTTTTGGCTTTGGCCCTTGAAAATTGTTCATTGTATTCACATACCTATATACAGACAGAGTAACTGTTTATCTGACCTTAAATAACTAAGTAAGTTTAAATAATATTACTCGTACATAAAGCTATCAATTAACCTTTTTTTTAAGATTACTCCCGTTAGCCCCTCGTACTAAGCTAAATATGCTTGTATCACTTATGATACAAGCATATTTAGCTTTACCATTAAGTTAACTTTTCGATGTTAACCTACAGCTCAAGATCAAGAACATCGAACACATGTGGGAGATCAGCATCCGAGTACTTCTCCACCTCAAAAAGATCCGCAACATCTACACTGACCCGGAGAACCCCGACAAACTCAAGTCAATGTGGCCTGAAGTCCTCAGGAGAATAGTCGGCCTAACAGACAATAACTTCACGTGTGTGGCTTATGGACCTCTCATGAGGTTGTCTAACACTTTACCAAAAAGCAATTATGATAAAATGATAAAGATTTTCGAAGAGGTGAAAGCAGAGTTTCAAGTAAGTAAAGACGAAAGTCAGTCAATCAGTGTGTGCTACCAGTCATGATATACGGTTTGGAAACGTGGCCTCTCAATATAGGCCTTATAAATAAGCTCAAAATTACACAGCGTGCTATGGAGAGGGCTATGCTCGGTGTTTCTTTACGAGATCGAATCAGAAATGAGGAGTCAGGCAATGGACAGGGCACATAGTACGCAGAACTGACGACCGATGGGGCAGCTAGGTTCTGGAGTGGAGGCCACGTGCCGGAAAGCGCAGCGTAGGACGTCCACCCACAAGGTCGACTGACGACCACACACCAACCGGCCATTGTGGAAATAATTGGGGGAGGCCTATGTTCAGTGGACGTCCTATGGCTGAAATGATGATGATGATGATGAATATTCTGAGTAAATGCAGTAATGGAACTCTAGGGTCATTCCATGACAAATGTTACCGAGGGTGAAAAACCAAATATGTTCTTTTCGCATTAAATCTGATGGATTTTGAAAGTAAACATTCCAAATTATAATGTGCAACAAAAAAAATCTGAAAGAAACAAGTAATTTTTAAGTTATTAGTCTTCAAAGTCTATACTTAAGTCAACTGTCTGAATGATCATTTTCTCTATATTTATTGGTAATACGATTTAAAAAAAACTATCAATCTGTGAAACGTTTTGCCACTATATGATTCGAGGGTATTTATCATAGTATTGGTAGATAGCGTCATAGTCCCAAAAAAATGGATAATCATCAAGTTTTAAGTGTGTTTTCTTGTTACTTCGGCGATGTAACACCCGAAACAGAAAAACAGGTATTTGTTTTATTATTGTACCTTACACATGGATTAGGGTAACAATATTTGGTAAAAGTAAGGTCATGGTAGTAATGATTTCAAATACTAACTAATATCTGAGCATGATACTAATTTAGTATGTTTCTTTCTTGATTAAAAACTGTAACACCCGAAACGTTTCGGGTATTACATTTTTATTTATATGTCGATAATGTGTGTATATTGCTTGGAGAAGTGAAAAAGTATTACTGTGAGGGTCCTTTGACCTCCCACTAGCGCTGGCATCGGAAAAGGAGTCATATTTCTCAATTTAAGACTTTTTTGAAATGTCGACTTAACACTAAAATTAAGGTATTGCTAAAAAGTGTCGATGTTTGACATTTCCAATAAATATCGTAATTAGAAATTAAAGTAATGCTATTTCAAGCCAAAAACAATAGAAAAAGCTATATTCTGAGGAAAAATTAAACTTGAACTTTGTATATTTTTTAAAAAAAGCTGCTTCGTAATTTCAAACCAGAATTCGCTCTATTTGTGTTTATTTGTTGTACTCCTTATTTTGTAGTACCTAGAGACTAATAAAACACCGATTTTATCGATAAAACGCGTTGAATTTTCGTACTCGTAACACCCGAAACAGAACCATTGTAACACCCGAAACAAAGAAAAAATTTATAAAAAAATAGTAAAACGTTTTATTTAACAGTGATTGTATGTTACATGGTTTGTAAATGTCATACTTTAGAAGTCCTGTAAGTTTAAGGTATGATTCCTTAAGAAAATTCGCTAAATTTCGAGTAAATGCAGCAACAGTCAGAACATAGAGGCAAAATCTCGTAACGCCCGAAACGCACACTTTTCGACTCATATTTTCGTTATCTTACATTCTAAGCTGTACAAACTTTATTATTTAGATAAAACAACTAAAAACGGACAGATTAAGGCACTAACATTATTAAAATACTATTTCAAAATACATGAAATTGTTGAATATGTGTGTACGAACGTAACACCCGAAACGATGGAATGACCCTCTACATAAATGTTCTTCTGTGCTTTTCAGAGGGTCCTGGCTGATGACGGTGTCCTGTTCTTCCCGACGTTCCCCTACACAGCTGACCTGCACTACAGGATCTACTACAAATTCCTGAACTGCAGCTACCTCACCATATTCAATGCGTTAGGGTTACCCGTTACAGCGTGCCCTATAGATTTCACACCGAAAGGTCTACCAGTCGGTATACAAATTGCTGCCAATAAATCCAATGACCATCTAACTATAGCTGTGGCTAAGGAGTTTGAAAAAGCCTTTGGTGGATGGGTCCCGCCCAATAAAGATCTCTTAACGAACGTCAAAACAGCTTAGGGCTTCAGTACAACTTTCGGAACATGGGACAGGAAATGACTAAATGAAGGTAGTAAGGTAATAATGGTAATGCCATTTTGATGACATAGTTGTTTCGGATTGGCAGTAAATTATTGTATATTTTTAAAGCGGGACAGGACCGTGAAACAATCGGTTTACATGGACTGAGCATTGTGTTCGATTGCTAACTTGTAACGTATGTAATCCGTGTCGAACAAGACTATCTGTCAAGTAAATAGTATAAAATGCAGGTAGGTAAGTATTATTGTTTTAAATAATTTGAATGTGTGCAATATTTTAACATCACAAACAAACTTCACATACCTACTACGATATTGGTGCCTATTATTTATTAAATTTAAAAAAATATTAATTATAACTCGTAATTTTGTGGTCTAAAATATTCTTAGGCACCAATCTACATCACACATCTAAAGCTCAGACTGTAAGTGATATTTATTTGTAAGTATTTTTTTATGGGACCAATTTTCTCAAGTTAATACCTACTTAGATATTCTTTAATTTTTTTTTAACCACCGTTTGACAAAAGCATTAAAATTATGATTGACTGCATTGGCTGAATGAATCGTAGAAAACGATTGTTCAAGTGACAATTAATTAATACTGTACCAGAATTCCGAAACCGAGTGTAGGTCAGTGTTTAACTTTCTCTGCATAATTAACACCTAAGGCGATGGAAAGACTACTTAAATTAATAACCTACTATTATCCAAATATACCAACGATAGAAATGTAGTTCTATAATCAAAATACAAGGCTATGATGTTACTGACACATTATAAACTTATGATATTTTAATTTTAACAAACAATAAATCAAATAATATTAGCTACTTAAGTAACTTTTGATATCTCAATTTCACGGATAAGAAGTAATCTGAATAAAATGTATGACATGTGTAATGTGTATAGAGCTAATGAATTATGAAAGCGTAAGCCTAGCCGCAGACTCCAGACTTTTTGTCGACCGATAGTTGAGTTGGGGTGTTATTAATCACTATGGACAATGACGAATGAAAGTGCGCACATTAGTGGGCACTAGGTACACTGATTTGATATCGTCCGATTCTTCATACTAATTAGAATCGGACCCAACTATCTGCCGACAAAACGTCGGTGGCATACTTACAGTTTTCCAGGTGATCAAAATCGATAGGTTTTGGTAACTTTTTATTCTTATATCTTTTAGGTGTCTGCTTCTTCTATGCTTTTCTCCATTAATCTGTTTTTCTTTGTTGGTGAAAAGAGGATGTTAAAATAATATAACGGTATTGTTTTAATAATTGTAATAAGAAAACCTTGCCAAATTTTAATCACTTTTTGATCGTGTTGTGAGCATGGTTTGAAAGTTATTTAATTCCAAAATCCTGTGATGTTATAATTACTTTAATAATGCGAAGACAATATTTATAAAAAAAATGTTTAGAACAATGTAAAATACAATTTAGTGTAGGTAGTTATTTGGAGCAGGAAGTAAAAATATACGTAAGTAATTGTAAATTAAGTACATACTTACACTAATAATGACATAAAACATTTTGTGATATTGTTGTTTCATTTTGATTTGTATTTTACTTACCCTTTGTTTCACCGTTTAGGAAAAGGAATGCTGTAATCAGAACGTTTAATCTTTGTAGTGCCAGTGCACAAAACGTCTAAAGAGAGATTTTCTACGTAGTATTGAATTGGCCTAACTTTATCATAACCACGAAACAAGTGTTTAATTAAATACTAGTCAATTTCCAAAGTGGATCGCGCGCTTCTATCAACTATTTTAAACTTCCCGCCAAAAAATGAGCATTTCGCTCTATGGTAACTCCTACCACTGACTATGGTCAATGGAGTTTCCATAAACGAAAATTATGTACTGGCCATGACCATATAAACTAGCAGCCCGAAAAGTATACTACTGATTAAACTACTACTTGTGCTACTACTGACCACTGCCAATCTCAGCCAAGTGTAGATCTATCTTTCTAGCTAGACTATTAATTTTGACCCCAATTGATGCCGCATGGCTACAGCTCACCAACAGAATCTTAATATTATGTGATTTTAATCATAGTGAAATACCAATTTTTAAAATAAGATGTCTATTTAAAACAACATTGGCAATGGCGAAGTGACCAAGATTGTACAGTGTTTCAAGGTTAATCCCGTATGTCTAGGACAAGCACGCGACATTGTGCCCCGTCGTATTACGTTCGACATAGGGCTTCGCTGTAAGTTATGCAGAGTTGAAATACTTAATCAAACGAATATTTTTTCATATTGGTTTCGAGCATACCAGTCTTTATTATTTTTTAATGATATTTAAAAATGTAAACAGTATCACACTCACTCACATTTTAATTAAAATGGATTGATGGCATCTATTCATTTATCTTAATAATAATCGTGGATAATGCGATGAAAAACTCACAAAACTTCATATTAAAAATTGCTATTATGGTTAAAGGACAGTAGTTACACAGTACACTTCATTTCCAGCTGTGATTTCCAGAGTAGGCACACAACCCTCTATTGTGAAATGGGTAAGTATAAAAGTATTAACTTAGGTCATAGGACGATGAGTAGAAATATTAAGGTCAACAGCTATGATTTGAGAAAAAGGTCATTCAACGAATCTGACACAGTTGGACAGCAATTGCTTAATCTAATAAGAGCAGACATAGCAAAGCGGATTATCAAGCTGAAGTGGCAATGGGTAGTGCTTGTGGAGCTCGTAGCGCGTGATGAATTGACGGCCCGGTGTGGGTTATGAAAGCTTTAAAAACTGTAAATCGCACACAGGAAAGCACAATGAAGTAAGGATAGAAGCTTATTGTAGTAATGATGGATGGACCATTATTTTCTAGCTAGAGGAAAGCTAATGTTACGGAGTGAAAATTTTAATAGTAATGTTAACTAATAAAATAAGTTAGATCCACATTTTTTAAATTTATCTGTTATGGGTACGCTATAGTAATGTCTAAATTATATTAACTACACAAGAATTTAGTTAAGAAAAAAAAAGCACAAAATGTGAAATCCAAATTATGATTCGATTGTCGATAATCGATTAAAAGATTCGATTGCCACAACCATACCAAGTTACGTTCTATGGAAAGCATAGACAGCCAACTGTTTTTTCTGTCGGCTCCGTCGCTAAAGTGATCAAGGAATACGTCGTGATGCTGCTAAAATATCTTTATCGGTCATTTAATTTATTTAATTATTTAAATAAAATACTGAATTTAATCTCTAAATTCTCAAAAATATACTTTAATTTATAAATTAAATTTAAAGATGTTATAAAACGTAGTAATGATAAAAATCACATCAAAAAATGATGAATGAAATAAAGTTGAATGACAACTGACAGATAATCTGTCATTAAATTTGATGAACATGGGAATTAAATCCAATTTTCGTCTTCAATTAATCAAAATTTACATTTACTGAATTAATTTTCGCATTTTAGCAGTTTTTTAAAATCCACCCTGAATTCCAGTCAACTATTTTTTATTTGCTAATACTCTTACAACGCACGCGCAGAACATCTATCGCCCGAAATTTCCCAGCGCCATATTGAGAGGCGGACGTTGTATGACTTGAGTGATTAATCGTGGTTAGTGCAATAAATTGAAGTGGAACAGTTGATCGTGCCCTATGGATATACATTTGGGTACGTAATAAGTTAAAAAATGCAAAAACAGTGCCTCAAATATCGTGCAGTGAGCCTTGGCGAGTCACATCGTAACCTAGACATAGGCCGTTCTAGTTATCAGTAGATTACCTAGGTATCATCAATCCGCTGTTTGCTTACAGTTTTAATCTTATTAATACACACGTGTGGTGAATAGCCATAGGTTTCTTGAATCTAGTTACATTAACGAGATTATACGATCGCTTCGCAAGGTTCCACGGTCGTATATAAACGGATTTCGAAGTGTTTATGTCGGCAGTTGACAGAAGCGTTTATGTATATGACCGATCATAAGTCACCACACCCAGTGACCGCCGGATTGTCGGTTTTAGTATAAAATAGTTCTTAGTTCGGATGATTGTTCGCGCGTCGTCGCGTCGGTGCGTGAAATAGTGCGAAATGGTGGTTTTCGTGACACGTAAAGTGAGATGAGAGTGTAATTGTAATATAATTTCTAGGAGTGGTGTGCCTCGGTTGAAAGGCCTGCCGAAAGGACAGGGCTCCGCGCGCGAGGACGGATTGCGGCCCTCCGCTCTGAGGAATCATGGAGTGTTGCATGTCAGAAGAAGCCAAAGAACAGAAAAGAATCAATCAAGAGATAGAGCGGCAACTCCGAAAGGACAAACGCGATGCCAGGAGAGAACTCAAACTGCTACTGCTTGGTGAGTCTTTTTGTAGCTATGTTACTATTTTCAGACACTATTTTCCATGTTGGACATGGTACCCAAAGTTAAATTTCTTTACTAACCTCAAACAGGTTATCATTGGTATGGCAGATTTAGTGCATCCAATACTAAGCTAATTATTACTTACCAGATGAATAAGCATAATAGAGTAGTACTTGATATTTTTGAGAAATGCAACATACCGACTAACCATAAAAATAATTTTGCTTACAGTACATTAATAAATTATTACCAAGTTGAAAACTTATTTTATAGGGCTTTACAAATCCAATTTAATGTTGCAAATTATGTCAGTTTTTTGTCTGAAAAACTAATATTTTTGACATAAATTCAATAGTTATTTTCGCAATCAAATATCTGCTAGAACAAAGTGTGATTTATTGAACCAATAAATATGCCTACTTTGCTTGTAAATCTGCACGGAAGAGGAAAAAGTGGGTTGACCCCAGTTAAACTTGACAAATAATTATGGCTGCTGATCTGATGAGTCTGTACGCTTATCTATCTTTGAAGTGTTTACCTTATCTGTAGAGTAACATTCAAATAACTTGATTTCCCTATTAAGAAATGCATAAGGCATTATTGTATTTCAATATCACTTTTCTGCCCCGAAGTATTGAAAAATGAAAGTATAAAATGTATTGTTAATTGTTATAATTAATTTGATCATATAAAAATAATAGTAGATCAGATGCAACATCAATGAATAAGAAGAGACTTCTCTAGCTATAATTGATTTTTTGTTAGAGTAACATTTTCCAGCTTGTAACATATGAACAAAAGCTGTTAATGACTCGGAAAGAATCAGTCAAATTGCATGAATATAACATTCCTTGGTTAGTGTGACATCTCATCTATGATTTTTAAAACAATGAGAGAAAGGGCACTATATCAGCTCATAATATGAGTGTCATATAAGTTGATCAATATCTCTATAAATTGGACTCACTAACTTTCTTGTTAAAAACAAGAGCTTTTAAAGATTTTCTTGTTTAATATTCCTCTATGAAAAAAATAATAATTCGATTTAATGCAGTAGGATTCAATTCCAACCAAAACTATTTTTATGGCCATTTTCAGTAGCTCAAAAAGGGTCTAAATTTATCACTGATACACATTGAACTGATACAACTGATACTGAACAGTTGATTAACATTTAGGTATTTGATTTGAATTTTTCTATCAAATCGTTTATTGTTTCGGTCAAGGTTATGCTGTAAATTGACCTGATCACAAGGTCTGGTTCAAGTAAATAATTGAACATAATGATCTCATGAGAACAAAAATACCTACTTTACAAGTCTTATAAAATTTTTCTCAAATATATTAACTAGGACCAGGTTACGTTTGAGCAATCAATTATATTATTTACTTACTGCCTTATAATCTAACAATGTATGTTTAGCTCAAAATACTATTTTAGTTATAGCTAAGTTTAACTCAAATACTAAATTATATTTTGAGAAATAATTGGGTTTGGTGTCATAAATATAGCTTTACCAAAAACCCACAAAACTGCACTGATAACTATTTTATTTCTACCTTCTAACTACTAATATTAATTGAACCATGACTGCATAATAATTATAAATTACATATTTTTATAATCATTGTATAATCCAACATATCATTCCTCATTTATATATTATTTTTAGTTTGTAAGAGCAAAATTAAGTAATAAGTTGCCCATCCCGAACTCCAGAACTTATAAAATGACAAAAAATAAACTGATCGCTAAAATGAGCCGACTTAAAAGTTACAAGTAGTTTGGCTTCTGTAGGCATTAATTTTTGTGTTTTTTCTAGGACTGTTATTTTAAGGAAAATATTGTAAATATTCATGCCATTATTTAATTCGAACACTGGTTTTCTATTTTGACTTGAGTCTGGCTGTTCTGGGCAAATCAAATCAAATGGCAAATAGCCCAAATAAAAAAATATAAATGTAAAAACATACTAATAGAATTGTACATGGCATTCGCTTTTGAGTTCTATTGGTGATACATGATGTCACTGTCAGATTCACCATGTGAGTGAAGTTCATAATTTCGAAGCGAACTGACTCCCCAAATCACAAGGAATTGTCACAAGGAAACATATTTAATAAATTATAAACCATCATAAGTTATATATCACTCGCCAAACCACAATTATTATCACAAAAATGTGAACATTGGACTATTATGTTTATTCAGTGTGAGAATTTAGAAATTAATTTCCTGACTTTGAAACCAAAATTAAGTTAATATTCATACAGTGTGTTATTTTTATACTTGATCAAAGAAAAAGGATTGATTCTATTGATAAAAATGCAACAATTTTTTCTAAGGTCCAAAGTTAAATTACTTATTAAGTAAAATAAATTCCATACAAATTATCATCAGCACTCAGTCATTTAATACGGGGATGTCACTTTTTTGTATTCAACCTGTAGAAAATGTAGCTAGTTGTATTTTTTTTCCGAATCCGATCTTTTTGTTCATATTAAAAAAATAACTAAAAGCACTCTCTATATCATTTAGTTAAAGAGCATACCTAATATCGATTGAAATAATAAAATTCCCATGACTATCTTTAAAATTTATCAGATCGCTTCAAACACGCGTACCTATATTTTAAAGGAGAACCTCTCATCAACCATATAAAATTACTCAGCTCATAAAATCGCTAATTTAATGACTTATTTCCGTTTTCGTTCTTATTGCTAACATGTTCGTTCAAAGAGTATAAATTGCTAAGATCTTCCTAGGTTATGTTACCATCATAGAAAATAGTTTTTCTAAAGACTTAGAGTATTTCTGTGCTGCATGGCGTCTTTCCGTTCTATACATAGCCAGAACGCAAGGGTGTGAAACTAATCGAGTATAGTTTGGAAATGAATATATTAACTAAGCTCCTCCAAACTATACACGACCAGTACGCATATGCTGCGTACTGCTCGCGTATACTTTGTAGTGACTTAGGTCAATTATCTTACTCCAAAATATACATCGCCAGTACGCATACGGACTAATCATGTATGTATTGTAATAAGTGCGTGATTACAATTTATACGCGAGTAGTTGCATGCTAGTCATTTTGACTTATTGACCTCTCTTTCTATTACATATTAATTCATATCTGCGTGTCTACTTTAAACCACGGTAATAATATCATACAGTATTGTAACTTCATATAAACAGACGAAACGAGAACTTTCTTTCGAAATTCAAATCTCGGTATGCGCTCGGTATGCAAAAGTCGGGGGTGTCGCGAATGTGCCGAATGGACGTCGGTGGCCAAGTGTTAAAAATGACAAAACTGATTGAATTTGACTGACCGTCATTTACGGTCAAATTGGTCAAAAACTAGTCAAATTGACATTTTCAGTCAGTTTGATTTGAAATGAAAATTATATTGTATCAAACCAGCTTTTGTCCACGACTTCGCCCGCCCGAAATTAAAGTAACAGATCATTATGATTATTAAAGTTTCGAAATTATTTAAGTAGTTTTTACTAAATTAAATCTACTAATCACACATTTTCAATCTATTCCATTCCCAAAGTATTTTGTTTGTCTAACTAAATAAAAAAAATACAATCGCAAAACTATATAGAAATTCTAAGTAGGCAGATGTAATTAAACTGGGTACTGTAGGTGAGCAGCCCTATCGCATGTTGTCATACTGTGACGTACCGCGCGACTGTTGACATTTATTTTAAAAATATGGTCGAGTTGGAATACTGTATAGATAGTATTACCGTGTTTAAACATTGAATCATCTTTCGACACGTGTCATTGTTTTGATAAAGGATTTTTTGGTGTTTCTTATTCTGCCATAGAAAAGATATTTGTTTTGGGGCTGATATTTCACCAATTGTCGTAGGTATGGAAATATGACAAAATGATTTTATTCTTGAGATAAAAGTTAATAAATAAAATAAATAATAAATAAATATCCTTAGACATTTTACACTGCGCTTCTAGTCCCAAACTAAGCAAAGCTTGTACTATGGGTACTAGACAACGGATATAAACATACTTAAATACTTTTTTTTTGTAAATACACTTATTATACATAGAAAACACCCAGTCCAATACAAACAAATATGTTCATGCACACAAATGTTTGTACTGTGCGGGAATCGAACCCGCTACCTCCGGAATAGTAGTCCGTTTCGAACCACTACACCAATTAGTAATGCACGTTGAACTTTCTTCTCTCACTCTCTCTCATTTTAATTAAATTGTTATTTAATTTGAAATCTATACCTAATCAATTTAATTTCAAAAACCACTTACAATAGTGTTAAAAATCTAAATTTATTATAGATTCAGTAAAATAATAATATTTTATGTAATAATATCAAATAAATGTAATTTTAAATATAGTTCCATATTTTACTGAATTTTACTGAATCAATATCAATTAAATACACTCTAGTCAAGTGTAAGTGGTGTAGTAGAAACTAATCGAGTATAGTTTGGAGATGACTTTTTTTACTAAGCTCCTCCAAACTATACACGATCAGTACGCAAAATTCGTGTATAGTTTGGAGTCACAGACTTACAAACAGGCACTACAAAATATACACGAGCAGTTTCCTATGGGTGCGTTCTGGCCATGTATAGAACGGAAAGACGCTGCTGCATGTGGATGCCCCTACAATTCGGCATCAACGGGGTTATTCCGAAAAACGTTAATTAAAGTTTCGAATGTTGCCATCTCTCTCACGAAAAGCGAGTTGCCAGCATGAGTAATGGTGACAGATAGACCCGAAACTGGATAAAATAGCGTTTCGGAATAGCCCTGCTGATCACTCGATTGTTTTTGAACCTTAACACTAGACAAAATAAGGTGGCAATTGCTACTGCCATATAAAGGTGCGTTTTTTATTGAAGCACTTAACATTCTACCCTCATCATCAGGTACTGGCGAGTCCGGCAAGTCAACATTTATCAAGCAGATGAGAATCATCCATGGCTCCGGCTACAGCGACGATGACAAGCGTGGATTCATCAAACTCGTTTACCAGAACATCTTCATGGCGATGCAGAGTATGATACGAGCGATGGATCTTCTTAAAATACAGTACGGGAATCCGTCCAACGCTGTAAGTTCATATACAACATTAAGGGCCCTCGCCCACGGCGACTTTTTGTAGAGATGCAGTCGCGCTGCTGTAGCGCGTTAGTAGCGCTTTGACATCACTTGCGTTGCAAATGCGACTAACGCGCGTTAGTATCGATGCTGTCGCGTGTTTCGTAAACGCACAAAAAGTCGTCGTGGGCGTGGGCCCTAAAGTCTTCTATAACTCCTCTGGAGATGCTGATGAGAATGGGCGTGGTGATCGCCCATCATTTACACACATGTCCGTTTTCATACGTACATAGGTATGCAAAGATGGGCCTCTTTAAAAAAAAGCCAGTTAAATTAGGCACTTTCGCCTAAACTAAGCTGTATAGCAACAGCACTGCAAAACCAGATACTTTCAGCTGTTAGTGTTGCAGCACTTCTAAGACTGTTTGCAATTTGTTTTACACAAATCTACATCCTAAAAACATGAAAGAAACCTACAAACTTCAGCTTCATAAATTCTTGTCTCCCACTAATCAGTTGAAATTGGCTAAATCACACAGCATTGTGCCTCAAGCATTTTATGCCATGTGAGTCCAAAGTATTAACACCAGTAAGGCCCAGAACAGACGGTGAAACGCAACTGCAATGAAACTGCAACTTTCTGATGATTCTGATGAATGACACTGAAACTGAAAGTTTCAAACTGGTCGCGTCATGTGTGGTCTCTCAACGGACGCTATGGCAGAAACTTAGATACAACTCAAAAGTAACTAGCAGTTGCAGTTTCGTTGCAGTTGCGTTTCACCGTCTGTTCTGGGCCTAAGTCTTTGACTAGCTTTAAACAAAAAATATGTTTAAACCTTTGCAGGAGAAGGCAGAGTTGATATCATCAATCGACTTTGAGAGTGTTACAACGTTCGAGAGCCCGTATGTGGAGGCGATCAAGGGCCTATGGGCCGACTCCGGCATCCAGGAGTGTTACGATCGCAGGCGAGAATACCAGCTCACCGATTCAGCCAAATAGTAAGTCATCTAATATTTTTAGTCTGTAGTGTCAAAATTTTGACAAATCTTAATGATAATTTGGAAGTTAAAGTTGAATTTACACTAGTCAAATGTGGTCTGTCATGTAACCTCGAAATGTCCCATCTGATTAATGTAATTTAATCTCAAGATAATCCAACTTTCACTGGTTGGGTGTGATAAACTGCCCAAAGTCGTATAACATGACCAGGATTTGTGCCATTTGCTAGATACTATTTTTCAATACCTTGTAAAATATTTAGAGTGTACTGTATAAAGGTTCCTTCAGACACCAATCAATCTAAATTAACTGGTAAAAAAATTACACTTTTATTTCTGCAAAGACTCAATATCAAGTTGTTTTACATGAGAATTTAAGTTCTGTAGTGAATACATATTTTTTGCCTGGGTTTCAACAGCACTGGCGTTTGACTCTATGAGTTGCCATGCCCATTGTTTCTCATAACCACATACTATTTTTTTTACCAGTTATTATTTATACACCCTACTTGGACCCAAGTCACAATATTGCTCACATAGTAATTAATAATATGTATGTTAAAATAACTTTTTTATGTCTCAATTTTTGAGGCTTTACACATTTTTTTGTACCAAACATAATACATAAATAACTTTGGAAATACCTGTTACAAGTTTACAAAACTATGCTGAACATCCACAATTAGATGAACACAGCGATTACCTCATTGATATTACGAGCTATTGAATTCGCTGCGGTATACATGTATCACTCACTACTCTGAGTAATTGCAGATTGTAATAGGTAATTATCATAATATAAATAATGGCATGAAATGCCTTAGACGACGATAACCGTAATGACCAGTATGGAGTATAGACTCTAGGGTATTTTTTAGTTATTGGCACAGATATACCTATAACATTTTGTTTGCTACATCAAAAACTACAAGACCTAGTATTAGCATATTTATTTTTAAACCAAGTTTTTGTATTCTATGCTAATGCTGAATCTATAAATAAATGAAAAGTTTATAAGCTAGCAATGGCATTGGTTTTAAGTGTATTCCCTACATTAGTCATGTTGACCCATTTTAGCATGTTCGAAACTGTTTCTCAAAATAGTGACACGACAGATCGAAGTCCGAATGGTTTCCAAGATAAAAGACGTACCGTACACCTAGTTTACACGGCGTCGTCAATAAACTATGCTTTTGATTGTGTTTATAGAATGGTGTCTAAGATATTGGTTTTCTGTAGCTACTTGCAGGAGATAGACCGCGTGGCGGCTCCGAATTATTTACCAACTGAACAAGACATCCTCCGCGTGAGAGTGCCCACAACGGGCATTATAGAATATCCGTTTGACCTGGAGGAGATAAGATTTAGGTAAAACAAGTGCGAAACGCACGCTTCGCTTCGATGCATGTTATGTGTTGCAATGGGGACTTTCAGCGATTTCTCTTTGGTGTCATCGTGAATTTACCGTTGTATAACTGTGAGTTCTCGAGCTGCATGTTACTCGCTTCTGTTTAGATGTGCATGAACTCGATTTCAGTTATTTAAGCGATCTGGCCAGGATCGAGAAAGACGATTATCTGCCGACCGAGCAGGACATCCTTCGAGCTCGTCAGCCGACCACCGGCATTCTAGAGTATCCGTTCGATCTCGACGGAATCATATTTAGGTATGTGCAGATGGTTTTAATGTACCGTCCAGATGCTCCGCGCGTCCCGGCTAGAGGCGCTAACATACCACCGTTTGATAACGTATTTAGATTCCCCTTTGAGTTCGGTGTAGTTCAGATGTTTCACAGGTTTGTATTTGCATGCTTATGGTGTTTTAACATTGTCTGGCCTTTACTAACATAATACCAATCACTTATGACATAAACGTAATTTTATCCTACAAATGAGTCATGACAAGTAATTGTTTGATTTACTCACTGCCGTAGTTTTGCTTTACACCGTATTACAGGATATTCTGGGTGTCATGAGTGGTTAACGTTTTATGTGGTGCTAATAAAACCTCTTAGCGAATCATACTCAATTTTGGTGTTTGTGCTAACTTCACCTTATCGGTTACTGTTTATAGTATTTGTTGTAATAGAAACTGGATAAATTGAATCATAAGAACAGAAACCGCCAGTCTTGATACATTAGAGGATATGTTAACCAACTTTCCGCAATAAGTGATCTATGTGATCGGCACTTTATCATGCTATATTTTGAGTTTAATTTTGACACGGAAATTTTGCTAGCGCTCTCTCCGAGTGTGAGCTCATGTTATATGATGTTACTAAAACATTTTACCTGTTCAGCGATATTTCTTGCAATGTGTCCACTAGTGTATTTAATTTCGGTGCAGTGAAATTAAGTAATTTTCCCACATTATATTGGACCTAATAACATACATGATAAGGTTTAAATGCTGTAAAAATTAAAGCTTATTATATATTTTTTTCTTAGATAACAATATTTTATGTGCAATTACAGTAGTCTCTTTAGGTATACAAACAGGCAAAATAGCTATGACAAATAGTCATTGTTGTAAAATCTCTTCCCTAAACCACTGCTTGTTCCTGTAGCCAAGTGCATCATGAATCATCCTTTATCAGCTTATTGTTATAGAGAACTTGTAGAATGTGAATTTATATTACTATTCTTTTTCTTATCTGTAATATTTGATAATCTTATCTTAAAGTGATGAAATATTTATTTGATAGCTGAGACTTATCTCGGGAACTGATAGATTTGTTTTATCTATTTTTATCAGACGAACAGCAGCACTGTTTAGTGTTCTATAGAAAATGACCAATTTAATTGAATGAAACTATAGAATGCAAATTATCTGCGGAAGTGTGTCATCAGCTGACACAATGCAGGTGCATAACTACAAGGAATTGTGTTTGTAAACCTTTAGAACCACTAAAAATATGTAACTGATTAATGAATATAATTTAGTACGTTTTTTCTTGCTTAGCTGCTGTTTGTATCGTTGTAATGGCTACCATGATTGACATTATAAAATGTAATACAAAATTAATGGAAACAATATTCCATAAGAATGTCTTATCAGAATCTTATGAGAGAGTAAGAAAGAAAGTAAATATGTTTGATGTAATTTCATCACAATCTTACAGTACATTTTTTATACTAGTCATTTATAGGGAGGATAAACTTGGTTCGTGTTAATTCGTCGAAACTAATGCAATATATTTTCCAAACAGAATGGTGGACGTCGGGGGCCAAAGATCCGAGCGAAGGAAGTGGATTCACTGTTTTGAAAATGTCACATCTATCATATTCTTAGTAGCTCTTAGTGAATATGATCAAATTTTATTCGAATCTGAAAACGAGGTAAGCATTATTTTGATTATTTCTTATCATTCTAGTGAACATAAAGGTCATAAGAACTTGAGACAGATTTTTTGTGTGTACCAACCGGAGCAAACCATGCTATTATACTGTATACGTCTAAACTTTCCATCGAAATATCAAGTTATCTGGCGAATCGAAATGTCAAGATATCCATCTGATACTGTTAAGAAGGTTCTGCAGCCGCCAGCCAGCTAAAAATCATTGCCATGTATATAATCTTTTATCTTAAGTGAAATTGCATTTCCAGTAACTTTTCCGCGGTACTAATGAAATATCAACATTGTTTCCAGAATCGAATGGAGGAGTCAAAGGCTTTGTTCAAGACGATCATCACGTACCCATGGTTCCAACACTCGTCGGTGATCCTCTTCTTGAATAAGAAGGATTTGCTCGAGGAGAAGATCATGTATTCCCATCTAGTGGACTACTTCCCAGAATACGACGGTAAATATCCTTTTTACTACAACTTCTATTGTAGCAATAACCAGGAGGCTACTTGAAATGGAGGGGCTACCTAGATTTCCACAACCCTGTCAGACTTTGTGGCCATAAAACCTGACAACACTCGTGCTTTTGCACACTTTACTAATATTTTCAAGGACCTTAAGTCCTTGATTGAAGCCTGTAATATTCAAGAACTGGGAACAAATACGCAAAGTGTGTGTGTGTGTGTGGTCTGATAATTACCGAAATTTTGTTTGAGTGTACCATAAAAGACACGAAACATGAGACCATGCTCTCTGTCAAAAATAGTACAAGTTTGGTCCATTTTTTTTAAAAAGGCAAAGTGAAATGATTCTAATGTTCAGGTTCTTCTTCTTCGTCCATGAACATGACACAGTAGGTGGAAATCATTGAAGGAGGCCTATGTTCATCAGTAGACGTCCAAACATCGTCAGGTTCATTCTTTGCACTACAATGGGAATCAAAACTAAAGTTGATTTTGGTTTTAACAACAATTCTAGGTCCAAAACTAGATCCGCCCCCAGCAATGGAGTATATTCTGCAGAAATATCTGAAAGAGAATCCAGACCCGGACAGGTCTTGTTACTCTCACTTCACGACTGCCACAGGTTGAATAAGACCCCTATGATATAATACATAAAACTGCTAGTTATTCCGTAGTTGAGCTAGAATGTTTTTAAGCCAGAGGTTTGGGATACTCGCTAGTTTTAAGCTCTTTTATTCACTGCGTATTCGGATTTGAGTCTTCATTGGTAAAATTACCGGTAATTTGATATTTTTACATGGTATATTTGGCAATCCACCAATGTTTTAAAAACTGTGCTCTAAAAACATAACCCTCCTAACGCAGCCGGTTAATGAATCCGATATTATGGTTCGTTCTGTCTCGAGTAGCTACAGAATATTGAGAAAAAGAGCTGTACTCGTGTTATCTATACTCTTCAGCTTTATAAGCTGAAGAGTTTGTTTGTTTACTTGAACGCGCTAATCTCCGGAACTACTGGTCCGATTTGAAAAATTATTTCTAGTGTTAGATAGCCCATTTATCGAGTAAGGCTATAGGCTATACAACATCACGCTACGATCAATAGGAGCAGAGCAACAATGAAAAATGTTGCGAAAATGTTTTCACGCGTACGAAGTCGCGGGCACAGCTAGTAAATATGTTCGGATTAAACTCCCCGCACCCCGCGCTTCCCTCGACCATAAAGTGGTGGGGGGCGCGTCTTCGTGGATGAGACGATCTAACGATCGATCTTATACCTTTTTTTGCAATTGCACCAATATTATTATTGCTATTACGATCAACGTTTATGAGCAGAACATTTGTTAAAACTTCGACCACAACCTAATTCTTACCAGACCAAAATTAGTTCAAGTATCATGTTAGAAGTAATCTATCGGTGGATTGTTGAGTAAATGTGTCCCATTTTGAGCATTAATAATTAAATAGTTACGATTAAATATAGTAAAAGTTTTACCAATGAAGCAAAAACAAGTAGAATAGCTAGTTCATCCAGTGTGGTGTGACAGGTCCCCAGCGCGACGCCATCACGGCGCGCGAGTTCATCCTGAGAATGTTCGTTGACCTCAACCCCGACGCCGAGAAAATCATCTATTCGCATTTTACCTGCGCGACAGGTAAGACTTCATTTTTGTACGAGTCTCGAAGTTTGATTGGCAAAGGAAATTGTAAAATAATTGACGTATATCATTGGATCAAAAGAAACGAAACGGCTGCTAACAAATCGATTAGGATCGAAGTCAGTTTAAGAAAACAACATTTTGCAACATGACACGTCATGGTTATGGTTATTATACAAAACGATAACAAAAATATCTTCATTTTATTCGTTACAGATTACTCTTACGATATTTTAATAAAAATAAGTTATTTAGTGAAACATCTGCTGAAAGTATAGCGCCGAAAATTCGTCTAAATAGCACATCAGCTAAAGTTTCGTGGCGTTACGCGTTACTTTCGTCTAACAACAGCTTGCTTTCGTGAACCACCAATACTTAGATTTTGCACTTTTGCGTCAAGTGCGTGTCCCTGCTCTAAAAAAGTTGTATGTATAGTGAAAGTTCATTAAATCTTCCATCTTGTGGGTGGTCATCTTCTAACAAGACTGGTGTCAGATTTTAAAGGCTGCCGTAGGCATCTGCCTTGATTTTTGAAAACGTATATCATCTAACATGCGTTTAAATATTCATAAATTAACATGTTTAAGTTATCTGGAGTACATTTCTTATGGACACTGAGGTGAGATTGTATGTGTGTTGGTTTTTTGTGTTGCAAGCGAGTAGATTATGTATTTAGATGTAAATAGTAGATCTAGACATTGCTTTAGTTACACGCTTGTTAAAGGTTTTCTGTTCTTTGTCTCTTGTTTGTGGTCTACATGCTATAGTATCTGTAAAATCAATTTGCTTATTCCTAGTTTAAGTTTTTTTATGTGGTTTTTGCTTTATTTTATCCTCAATATGTTAAGGATAAAAAAAAAACAATTGATTAGATGAGAATGCCATTACAAAGTTATAAACGGCCAATAAAAGAAAGAACTCATTATTAATATTTGGCCATGTGTGTAGCGTGACTATACAGCAATTTAAAGTCCGTACTATGTACGGTTTGGCTTGTAATAAATAACACTATACTCAAAACTTGATTCCAACTCAAGCATACGACAGTCTTGAGTTAGAAAAACAGATTAATTTCAAGTATCAGTTTGATGCTAAGGCGTTTAATATGTAAACGCCTCTTTACTAGTATTTTTTGTCATTCAACAAATATTTTTATTTGCTTATGCCTTCTATTGCATGTACTTTTATTTATTTTTTTACTTTTGCATGCTGCCTTGGATATTTTTAAAGATACGGAAAACATTAAGCTTGTGTTTTGTGCGGTAAAAGACACCATAATGCAGTCCGCCCTCAAGGAGTTCAATCTCGCATGAATTTACAGCTTACTTATATTTATGTTGTTAACACCATTAAACATTTATTTTTAATACTAATCGCATGTTGTTTATTTATTTAACCCTAAGTTATTTTACTATCCTGAAGATGAAGTTTTAGCGCAGCTATACATTAGGGCACCCACCACAAATAATGAGAGATACAAATACATTTAGTATATTATCTGTGATAATTATAATATACATGATGACTGATTGTAAAGTTTAGATAAAACACAGGTTAAACAATATTTTTATAAACTTTTTGTTTGAATACTTGTTTTACTTCGTTTTATGAACCTTTAAAGTTAGATGGGCAAGATACATTCTAAAAGTAACTCATTTATTTTACTAAAAAAAAATGCAAAGATGCCAAGAAAATTTCTTACGGAATGAATAAGAAGGTGAGTATAGACTAGAGTATATCTATGTAACGTTGTTACGATAAAGTTAAAAAAAATTGCGACGTTTGGTTCGTGATAGGCTTAGATTAATAAAACCTAGATAGATAGTCAGTGCACGAAAGGTGAGGCAGATTTTAGTAAGCCAGAATGGCTTACCCGTAAACGTCACTTGAACTGTCAAAGTGAAAAATAGGTAAACACGTCCGACAAATTTTAATTAATTATGACGGTTTGTGCAGTGAAAGGGTGTCTGAATACTTCAGATAAAAGAAAGAAAGTGACCAGTGTTACATTTCACAAGTAAGTACTACAATTCGACGAGTATTTTACTTGAATTTGGTTTTCAAAAATTAAATACGGCAATGATACCAGTAACAAGAAAATAAATTTCCCAATTGTTCGCCGTAAAAATACACTTCCTTTTTTATAAACTCGAGATTTTTAAGTCCATTTATCTTATTGTAATTAGGTACGTGCCTACATCTTATTTTTGGTTATTACATTTTTTTAGCATTGCATTTCAAACTAAATTTTTAATTTCTATTTTAGTTTACATTTTTAATAAGCTTTAAAAATTATTTGTATTCAGACGCTGAACTAAATCTAAATTAGGGTGCATTACTAGAAAAAGATGTCTGTTAAAAAAATATTTGGTACCTTTTCAGGTTACCCTCTAACCCTCAAGTCGCTTCTAAATGGATCGATAAAATTAGATCAAACCGCAATGACAGCACGTGGATGCCATCCAAAAACTCAAAAATTTGCTCAATTCATTTCAATGACTCGGACAAATATACTACTAAAGGTGGATTATGTAGACTACGTGAAGGAGCAGTTCCTACAAAGGTACCTCACTATTCAATCCTTGCTATTGATCACTAGTTTTCCTAGTACGTAATATTTGGTACTAGGTTATTGTACGTAATCCAGTTATCCTACTAATCCTACTAATAATATTATAAATACAAAAGTTTGTATGGATTAATTATTACATGACGGATTTATTAACCGTTTTACAATCCTTTTACCGTAAATTTGTCTGTTGTTTTTCAGAATATGCCCATTTGTACAATAATTAATGATGACGTGGAGGAAGACAACCAACCCGTTAGTTTTTTTTTTAATGGCAACCAAACCTCTCTTAAGGTTTCTTTATGCCAATGTCGATTGTTATTGATATTTTTATATTTTTTTTGTCTTCAGCACTTTTTGAGTTTTTATTTTTATATTGTTATAATGTTAAAATGTTATTTTATACTTATTTATCACCTCACTGCACTTTGAGAACACAAAACAACACCAGATTTATACAGTAAAATACATTAAATAATAAATTAAAACCATTAAAATAACTTCCCGTTCAACTACGCTCCACGAAATTCCACTTTCTCCTTTTTTGGTTTAAATTGACATTTAGTGTGGAAATGCTTTTCGACCACTTTTCGACTGGTTTGCGATTAAAATGTGCACTTTGTCAGACCTCCTCCTTCTCAGTATTCATCGCGTTAACTTTTTTTATATTATGGCACTAAGATTTTTCTCACACTAAGTGACGTAAATTATACTAACTGATACTAACATAAATTACATAATATTATATCAATTATTATTTTTTTATATTTATTGAATTGTATTTTATTAATTAATTTACACCGTTCGGCTATTGTAGATTCAATTTTATATTTAACGAGATTTATACAGAGTGGAATTTTGTAATGCCCCCTGGAGGGAAAGTACTCTTAATACTGTAGATAGGAAATTATACTCATTATTTTTGAAAAGAAATAAAAATGCATTTAAATATTTCTAAAAATTGTGGTAGCATTACACAATTCTACCCTGTATATACCTAGCTTATTTACCTACCCTTAAACAATAATAAAATTAACATATCTATTTTAGGGTACCTCGGTTGGTGATTCAGAGGCATCGATGACTCCTGATATGAATCCGATATTTGAAACGCCAAGAAAAGCATTATTACGAAGGAAGCTTAACAAAACGCTATTACGTGTAGAAAGAAAGAATAGACAGATAAAAACAATTAAACAAAAAAACCGTCGACTATTGAAAAGAACTACCAATCTCCGTAATGTGTTAAAGATATTGCAAACAAAAAGATATATTGACAATGACATTTCAAATATTTTATCAGAAAATGTTTTGGCAGCAGAACTTTACAATAGCTTAGTTAAAAAACGTAAAAGTCAAAAGCGCCCTATGCCGAAATACACACCAGAATTCAGAAAGTTTTGCCTCACTTTGCATTTTTATTCGCCACGAGCGTATGCATATGTACGAAAAACATTTGATACTTGTCTTCCTCACCCAAAGACAATTTATAATTGGTATCAGTCTATAAATGGTTCTCCAGGATTGACTGTTGAGGCGTTTGAAATTTTAAAAACAAAAGTACAGGGTAGTGAAAAAAAAATTTTGTGCACTTTAATAGCTGACGAAATGGCTATACGAAGTCAGAATTTAAAAGGAGGTCATGGTCGAGTGGATATTGGCACAGGGACAACCGATTCCACCACAAAAGCTAGAGAAGCATATACTTTTATGCTTGTTTGTCTTAACGAACACTGGAAATTGCCGTTAGGATACTTTTTAATTGACAGCATAACGGGAATACAAAAAGCCAACCTTATAAAAATGTGCCTCACAAAGTGTGAAGAGATAGGCGTAAAAGTCGTAGCCATAACATTTGACGCCCATAGTACTAATAAGTCAGCCATGGAATTATTAGGATGTCAAATAAAAAACGCACATGACTTGAAAACTACTTTCAAGCATCCTTCGGCCAATTACCATGTAGCCGTATTTCTGGACCCAATACATATGTTCAAATTAGTACGTAATCATTTCGAAGACAAAGGTGAATTTCTAGACCATAATGAAAATAAAGTCTGCTGGAATTTTTTGACCAAATTAAATTTACTTCAAGAAAAGGAAGGATTACACATTGCCAATAAATTAACTAGAAAACATCTCGAGTTTAGAAATTCCATTATGAAGGTTAAGCTAGCATCCCAACTTTTAAGCAGAAGTATTGCAATCGCACTGCAATTTTGCAGGCAAGAATTAAAATTGGAAGATTTTAAAGACAGTCAGGGTACCGAAGAGTTTTTAATGATCTTTAATAATTTATTTGATGTCTTTAATTCTCGAAGTTTAATGCAGCATGGTTTTAATCATCCTCTTTCAAAATCAAATAAAAGTGAAATTTTTGAATTTTTAGATGAAGCCAAAAATTATATATTAAATTTGCACATAAAAA